CAATCTTTTATGCTTCGAAACCTGGATTTCACTTTCCACCTTCTCCTGCTCTTTAACCGTACAATCAGTCTTCATCACTAGTAGATGTTTTGAACAAAACAAAATGGCATCAACTGAACTTGTTTGGACCAAACCATCCTGACTTACAAGTAGAATGCATTATCTACAGATGGCTTTATTTAAGATTAGGGACAAAGGCAAGAGGATTCATGTTAATCTGTGGGGCATGGTAAGATTCCATGTAAAAGGTTTTATGGAATGTTTATCCATCCAATTTTTTACAGTATGTTGAGTGACTTTCAGAGTAATTGGTGATGGCAAGTAGTTCATAATATGATCAAAGACTATATTGCATTTGTTAGGGGATGGATCCCCTATCACTGGTGGGTCCGGAGACCTTGGGCGCTGGGTTTATTGTTTATTTGTTCCTCGGGAGAAGGCCACGAAAGTCTCTTAAGGAAGACCTCCAGTTCGACTCCTGGGGAGGCCTCCCCTTGGGGAACAAATAAACAATAAGCCTAACGCTCAAGGTCTTTAGACCCACCAGCAATAGGGGATCTGTCCCTTAACAAAAAGGGATCAGCTCAAGTGGTACTAGGGTTACCCATGAAAGTCTCTTAAGGAGACCTCTGGTTCGACTCCTGAGGAGGCCTCCCCTTGGGGAATAAATAAACAATAGGCCCAGCGCCCAAGGTCTCTAGACCCACTAATGATAGGGGATTCGTCCCCTAACAAAAAGGCATTAGCTCAACTAGTACTAGGGTCACCTACGAAAGTCTCTTAAGAGAGACCTCGGGTTCGACTCCTGGGGAGGCTCCCTCGGGAAACAAATAAACAATAGGCTCAGCACTCAAGGTCTCCAGACCCACCAGCGATAAGGGATCTGTCCCCTAACAGCATCCTCCTCTTTCTGGTCTTCCATTATGATGTTTATGAATCATTGATAATAGCATATTGCAGTTTGATACACATGATCCTCAAGGTTAGGATCGTCACGATCGTGCGTCGACGTGTGGCAGCAGCAGCAATAAACAGCCATCCTTGCTGGAGTTTCTTAGGGGTGACTTCATCCTTTGTTTTTCATTTAATATGTTTTACATTTGCCATATATGATTCTGAAGCTTGACTGTATAACATGTGCTAGATCTATAAATTGGATTATTGATTTGTTGTCAAAGATGAATGATTCAGTGTGAGCGGGGATAAGAAAATGGTTTTTGTAGGGATTGACTGATCTAGAGACAAAAACTTTGCTTTATACGTTACATGACATTCATCAAACAAGAGGGACAAAGCATGAGACAATGTTGCCAGGTGTTGTGTTGTGAATTGTTCGTACTGATTGTAATCACATGAAAGCCTCATCACGAACAGATCTAATGCCTAATTTCATATTACATATTGGCATCTTCCATGTTGATATTTCCTTATAATTTATGCAAGCCTATTCATTTTAGTTATTACAGTGAGAAAGGGGAAGTGAATGGTGAAAACATTCCACCCATATATATAATCCAAAGTAGTAATTAAATCAATCTTACCTATTAAATAGGGTGGAGCATTAGTTACAACTACACCTATTCGTAAGTATTTTATTCATTTGAACAAGTGTCATACTTGAATTGCAGAAAATTAGATAAGTAACGAGCATGACAATAGTATATATATAAATGTTAAATCAAGTAATAACTATGAAATTTAAAATTATTTACCTAATTTATTTTATTGATTTGTCATTCATACTTATATAGTTAAATATTATATTTAATATTTATATAATAATAATGATAATTTTTAAAAATAAAAATAAAAGTAAAGCAAGTCAAGGAAATATCATACACGTAACAATAATAATTTATATAAATAATAAATTTTAAGTCAAATACATAACATATACAATAGTAACAATTTATACAATGCTTCTTCTTTCTTTAAATCAAATACATTAACATATATCCGTAAGTTACCTGATATTTATTGAGTTAAATATTAAATATAATTTTTTGAATATTAGGCTAAATATCAAGTTAAAAAACTATATCTAAAAATTTTTAAATTAAATATTAAATATAACACATATTTCATCTGTCCCGAAAAATGTTGCCCCCTACCATTAAAGGCGCTTCCATGGCAGCCTTAATAAGCTTACCTGAACCGGATATTGTGGACCAATGGTTCACCTCAAAACCTTAGTGCTTAGGTGAGATGGTGGTCAGAGTTTCGAATTCCACTATCATCGTGAATTCTACCAAACTGTGGCCTGATGGCCGTGCACCTCATTTGAGGGGGTGAAATGTTCCCTCGGTTTGAAGACCAAGTGTTAACAATTAACTCACTAACTTCCTAACCATTACCCTTGTCAAAAAAAGAAAGAAAAAAAAAAAAGAGCTTAGCTGGGCCCAAAACGGCAACCATTCAAGTCATTTTATGTTTTGCTCTAAAACAGTTCTATGCTTCTGTTGTTTTACGTTCTCCGCCACTAGAGAAATCGACTATACCTGCCAAATGGATGGGTTGGATCGAGTTCGGTTTGGATCAACTTTGGTGACAAGTTATATCAGTTGGATATAAATGAGTTGCGGGTTGAAAAAGTTTAAACTTAACTTGATTCTAACGGATTACGGATTAATCCACGGATTGACTTATTTTCATTTTTTATAATTATTTTTTATTAATTTTATTATATACAAATAAAATTATATATATCTAAATCTAAT